GCCCCAATGATACACTTCCTCCCAAAAAGATCACACCTACTCCAACAAGGCTGCACTTCCTAATCCTTCTCAAGTAGTGCCACTCCCTCGTGACTAAGCATTCAAATATATGAACTTGGGTGAGGGGGGCATTCTTATTCAAAAGATCACATTGTATTTATATAAAAGGAAAAAAATTATCATAGTTGCTTTTCAAAGGAGCCATTGTTCCACAGTTTAACAACGCCCTCTAGTGCCCAGCTTTGACATAAATCATTGAGTCAAGTAGTGGTTGACCACTTGACATGAACTATACGGTGTGAAGGATGAAAGGAAATACTAGGAGTTAATGCTAATGCATGCCTGTAATCCTGCATTCTGTGGGCAAGAAGACCACAAATCCAAGGACAGCCTGGGCTACAAGCTTAGATCCTGCCTCAAAAAACAATGACAGAAATCATCTTCCTTTTTATAATTTTGCTTACATTTTCCTTGTATATTTTCTAGTGGAAAATGACCCCCACTTCATCATTTACCTGCCAAAAAGCCAAAAGAATATTTGTTTCAATATTGACTCAGAACCTGGAAAAATCCTTAGCCTGGTGTCTGATCCAGAATCAGGTAACATAAAAGCAGATTATATTATATTTGAATTAACTATTTGCATGATGGCCATGCTTCCTTGTGACTACCTGGGATTCCTTTCTTTTTCAGCTTATTAGATATTTTATTTTTAAAATTTTTATGATTAGTGAGAAATTAAATTATATATATTAAGCATTTCAAGCAATTATAGCTTAAAACATATATTTTGAGCATGAGCTGTTATTTTCATTTAATTATTTTATAATAAATTAACTGTAAAATAAGATTTTATAAAGAAAAATATTGTACTATGAAAATTTTTTCTCAACTTGTCAAATTTTATAAATACAAACTGTGGTGCCCACATGTGGAGTACAAGAGAGAAAGCATCTTTTCTTTGACAGGGATTTTAGTCAATGGTCAGCTTATTGGTGCCAAGAAGGCAGAGAATGGAAAACTAAAAACCTACTTTGGAAAACTGGGATTTTATTTCCAAAAAGAAGACATGAAAATAGAAATCAGCACAGAGACAATCACCCTGAGCTATGGTTCTTTTACATCTCGCTTGTCCTGGTCTGATACAGCTCGTCTTGGGAATCAGAGGCAAGTATTCCGTGCTGGTCCCCATGTGCCCTTAGAACATGGCTGCAGAAGCCAGCCCAGGCTCAGCATCAGCAGAGAACAGTCATCATTTTAAATACAAGGAAGTCAAGGTTAGGGGAAGTTGTTCTCATCTACTATGCTCTCCCTGGTGCCAGGAATTGTTTTCAAAGCTCACTGTGCCTTAGCGACAAGCCACAGTACATGGCATACAGTAAGTGATAAGCCACAGTACATGGCATACAGTAAGTGCTCAATACATGTGTGTGATGCATCAGTAAGCAGATCCATCCATGGAAATGTGTAGGTGACTACATCAGAATCATACTACCATCAGCAGTATGGTTGCAGTTTATGCAAGAGTGTCTTCCCATTAGGACCTGCTCACTGACTGTTATAGACATGCATTATCCCATAGCATCGACATGGTGACGTTCTCAATGGAGAGTCTGTATTAGGCCTGAGAATGACTTGCTTAAAAAAATGTCTATTCTGAGTCTCGAAAGATGGCTCAGTGTGTAAAGGCACTCGCTGCTGAGATTGATTACCCGAGTGGATGGAGAGAACAAACCTTTGCAAGTTGTCCTCTTCTGACATGCTCTAGTGTACTGTAAAACACACACAAGCACACATGCATGAGCACACACACACAGAAAATAATTTAACATTTAATACGATGTCTGTTCCGGAATCATCTAGAATCTATGTTGACTTTCACATAGGGTGCTTATCTCCGTGAAGAAGGGAAAATCTGTGACTCTGACGGTGGATAAGGAGATGTTCTTTTCCGTTCTGCTGCATCATGTGTGGAAGAAGCATCCAGTCAATGTGGACTTTCTAGGGATCTACATCCCCCCCACAAACAAGTTTTCACCCAGTGCACATGGACTCTTAGGTAAAGCATCTCAACCATTGGACATGTAGGCAGTGACTTTGACAACTATGGTTAGGTGGGAAGGTGGTTGATAAGTGGTGGCGCATACCTTTAATCCCAGTGCTCAGGAGGCAGAGGCATGCAGATCTCTGTGAGTTCAAGGCCAGCCTGGTCTACAAAGGGAGATCCAGGACAGCCAAGGCAACACAGAGAAACCCTGTCTGGAAAAAAAAAGAAAAAGAAAAGAAAAGAAAAAAGTTGGGAAGGTGGCAGGTACAGCTATGGGAGCAGAGGGCCCAACACAGCAGGGTGACCGGGGAATGCAATGGCCAAGGCCATCTGCCCAGTGACACTAATGTGGAAAGACAAGTGACAAAACAGGTTATGAATTATGCCAAGATTTTTTTTTGTGACTGATGAGAGGTGACTTGGCTTAGGAGGTCCGTGACAAGCAGACTCAATGACATGCAGGCATTTTAAGAAGGGTTCAGGTGTAAGCATGTGGCATCACAAAGCTCCCTTTTCCTATGATGTGAGCTACACTCTCCAAGGCCTACCTTGTCTGCTGCCATCAGAGGGGCAGCCCTTCACTGATGGTCTGGTAGACCAGCATCAAGTACAAAGGGAGTCCAGAGGGAGGACCGAACTGTCACTTGAACTCCAGGATTCCATGTAAATTAATGTCTGTGCTCTGTGTCATTAGGTCAGTTCATGAATGAGCCAGACGTCCATATCTTCAATGAGAGAGCAGGAAAAGATCCCGGAAAACCAGAGGCAAGCATGGAAGTGAAAGGACATAAGCTGACCGTCACCAGGTAGGCCTTGGATGCGTAAGAAAAGGCACTGGAGCCGCTGTCCAACTCCACAAGTCATTGACAATAGACACATATACAATATTAGCCAAAGGACACTTCAGAGAGCCCAGATGAAATGCAGATAATGACCCATGTATGTGCACACACGTCATGAAATGCCAAAAAGAATTACTCTAGTGCTCTCATCTGCATGTTAGAGCCCTTCAGTCAGGAACTGAGTAATTGACGATGTTGACCAAAGGAAAAGATCACAAAATATCCAGGAAGCACAGGGCCAGAGAAGGCATGCATATTCTATGTAAGGGCTTCTTGAATATGGATATACTGAGTGTATTGGGGGTAGTTTTTCTTACATACATCACATCCATATGCTTCACTTCAAAGTGGGAATTTAGCATTCTGAGTATAAATGATAATTCTTTGGATATTCCTCCCCTTTCTTGTTCAGTTGTCTCCCTCCTGCTTAATATCACCTTAAAACATTTTTTATCTTTTTGATAGTTTATAAGTTTTCCTTATTAAAAATAACAGTACAGAAATGCTATTATCTTCCACATAATTAAAATGTAATTTTACAGTGATAATTAAATCACAAGATTAGTTATGATATATGCCATCATGATACAGACACATGAACTAAAATGGTGGAGTCTGAGTACACCACCCAAATGGTACTGGCTTACCAGACAGAAAACAATTCATTATTAATAGATACCAGTAAGCATGGAGAAAGGGTGAGACCACGTAGTAGCTGCCTTACATCATAGGCAGACATTTTATCTATGACAAAACACAACAGACCATCTTTTCCATGACAAAAGGCAAACACTGAGCCTTTTCACAAATTCCTGACATTTCCGATGAGCAAATGAAACTGAACGAGCCCCACTCCATCCCTTTAAGACTCACTGATGGCAATGTGCCGTAGGTATTTTTAAAATTTTAGCTTCTTCATCCTCTAAGGGGAAGACTTGGATTTGTTCATAAATAGCTGGCATCACTCTTAAATAAAACATATCCATAAATTGAGGAGGTGCCTCCGGTGCCTCTGCTAGCGCAGACTAGCCTACAGCACTGTTTTATTTAGCCTTCCCCTTGTTTACTATTCACTGCCACTGTTACCTGGGTGGAAGAGCCCTGCAGGCCAGCTTCTACAGGGCTAACTGTCTGAGGACACACTGGCGACTCTCTGATCTTCCAGCACCAACCCCTAGACACTGACACTGATACCTCTTTTAACTTGGGGGGTAGGGAAGGAGTAGGGGGTGGGTAGAGAGAGGAAAGGCATAAAGAAAAGGGAAGAGCCTACTTGTGTCCAGCTGTGCCTTGTTCCTGTGTTGGCTTTTCCCTAAGCATAGATGCCATTTTCCTTTCAGAGGCTTACAGAAGGACTACAGGACAGATACTGTGTTTGGAACAGACGTCCCCTGCTGGTTTGTGCACAACAGTGGGAAAGGTTTCATCGACGGGCACTACAAGGATTACTTCGTACCTCAGCTCTACAGCTTTCTCAAACGGCCTTAAGGGTTTACGGTTTTGGAAATTGTACGTGTACATTTTCTCCCTGACCCTTTTGGCAGTTTTCCTCAGCTCCAGCAACTCAAAACAAACCCAGATGTTAGAGTGGTCTAAAAGGCCTGCTAAGAAAATAAACATTTGCAAAGAAGTCTCAGGAGTCTGGTTTCAGATGATGTGTGTTAATCAAGGTGACACTCAGGACGTGGCTGGTGAGTCAAGCTGCCACTGAGACCAACCCCAGGAGCTGGGGTTTACTGTGAAAATCCATCTACTGTTGAATGTCACCTTAGCCTTGAGATTAAGCACACACTTGCTGTTAGTACACAGGAGGGTCAACTATGAGACTTTGGGTGAATACTGACAATAAACAGGGGACATTACTTCTTTGTAGCTGCTTCATAATAGAGACTTACACTGAACTCCTGGGCTGCAGGGATAGCATTGTCAAAACTAGACAGACATTTATGTGCAAAACTCAGAGGAACAGTTCTATAGAATAGTTCCATAGAAGTGTTCTGTAAAATCAGTCTCATACATGTAACTCATGTGACCAACCTTGAAAAGTTGATGTTTCAACATGCATCACTTATAAAAGTAACTTTATCAGTAACTGTCATATGTAATCCCTCTTGAGACCAGATATGTTGATTTATTTTCCATTTTAAATGAACAACCAACCTTGAATTTCAAACAAGACCAACGACTTAGTGGGGACAGTTGGCAAAGAGCAGCTTTCTCCCTAGGTAAGCCTGTTCATTCTTTAGAGGGTCCCGGGAACAACCACAACTTGATATTTAGTTATACACAGTATGAACAACTGAGATCTCAGCTGACTAATATTGACCTGCTATTTGCGAGACATATTAGCTAGCTTTTGGTCTCATGTGGCCTGTGTTCACAAGCTTGGCCCATGTATCAATCACACAGCTACCATTAAACCAATACAATTAAATGTGAATTTTATCTTAATGAATGGGAAAACTTAACTGAGGAAAAACAAGTCTAAGCTGAGATTATACCTGAGTAACAAGTTTTTTTTTTTTTTTCAAAGTTTTAAAGACTGTTTTAAAATGACTATAAACTAATTCAGTGTTCTTTAGGGTATAGACTGGAAATGCAAAGGTCTGGAGAGTTGGTACGAGCAGTGAAGAGCATTTTCTGCTTTTGCAGCGCGGGTCCAGGTTCAGTTCTCAGTACCCACATGGCAGCTCACATTCATCTGTAACTCCAATTCCAGATCCAATGCCCTCTTCTGACCTGTGCAGAGTCCTGACATATGTGGTACACACACAAATACTTACACATACACCACATAGTTCTTTAAAAACATACATGAAAAAAACCCTAAATTAATAGAATTAAGCAGTATCTTATTAAATATACGTGTGTGTGTGTGTGTGTGTGTGTGTGTGTGTGTGTGTGTGTGTGTGTGTATAAATTGTAGCTTGAGTGCCTGGTTCTCAAGCATGAACTTTGTAAAGGACAACATCATGACTAAATTGTCATAGAAAATAAAAGAACCTATGTTCTCACAGCCTATGGGCCACCAGTCAGGCACCCTTGAATGTTCCAAGGCAGTTCTTTCCCCAATATGGTCCAGAGGAACCAAAGGTTGGACACAAAAGCGACGGAAGGATTTCTTTATGTGTATGGGTGTTTGTCAGGCATGGACATCTGTTCAGCATGTCATGCACTGGCCGTAAGAGGGCACAGGATCTGGGACTGGAGTTACAAATGGTTATGAGCCACCATGTGGGTGCTGGGAATGTAAAGTGTGTTTTCTGGAAGAAAAGTCAGTACTCTTTACTGCTGAGCCACCTCGACAGACTCTAATAATAAAATAAAGTGACATCTTTCACTGGTCTTTTTTAGCAAGAGATAAGTGACTCTAATGAGTCATAAGAATGAAGGTCAAGCTTGCCTGATTAGAAACACACAGACACTAATGTGATAAAAGAATTTGCTATTTTTTTTCAAATTGTCTTACATGAAACACTTTACTATGGTATTCTTTAATGATGGCAAAAAACCATCATGGGGTATTGGTGGAGGTATTAAGGCAACTCTACATAGTTAAAAGGGAGGTTTTTTTTGTGGGGTAACTTACAAGTAAAGGGATAGGTTACAGGGTCCAGGAAAGGTGTAGCGCAGTCCAGCGGTGTTCTCTGGAGAACTCTGCTCTGTCTACCTCCAGCATCCAGGATCCAGGAACCAAGAGAGCCGGCACATCCGGATCTCAGGTCTTAAGGGCTCCTGTCTCGGCCCTGCCTTGTAGGCGTAACAGTTACCAAAGCCTCAGTGGGGGTAGTTCTTCCAGGTCAAAGCTGGAACAGCTACCCACTACAATGGGGGGCTTATGAAGGAAAAAGGAACAAAGCTAAAATGACAGTTTTGACACTTAAAAAACATTAGATTTCATTATAAATTTACTCAAACTATCCAGCAGTATTTAAATAGATCCACCTTTTATACAAAACAAATCCCCTAACACAGTAGAGTTACACAGTACCTTGACTAACATCAATTTGATGCTTTACGATTTCAATGTATTGTTAACCAATTTCCAAGCTCAAGCAAGTTTAGATATGTCTTCATACTGAATCCCTTCCACTCTGCGTCCTTTCAAAGGTCCAGTTTCAATGACTATGGTGGCTGAAAAGGTCTTTTCATTGATGGATTCCAGGGTGCCTTCATTCCCTCTGTAGCCACCGTTCAAAACTAGAATTCTTTTCCCTGGTGCTGGAATGACAGTCTCCAGATGAGTCTGGTCCAGTTTCAGCCTGTCTCCAGAGTCAATCATCTTTACCACAGCTGTGTATCTGTCAATCACTTCCTTAATGACACCCTTCTTCTTGTGGTATTTCTCTCCGAGTTTCTTGGTTATAATTTTCACAACGATTCCAGGCTGTAGCCAGGCGTCTGTTCGAGCAGTTCTTTTCTTTTCCTCTTCCAGCTCCATGATTTCGTCCAGTGCGGACTTCTTTTTCTTCTTTGCGGGCTGAGCTGAGCTCTGGGAAGACTCTTTCCGCCTCACGGAGGCTGCACTTCCCAGCGTCTTCAGTGCATTTGGTCCCAAAGAGCTTGACTTGGACGATGTTGCTCCCGCTGAGCTACCTGCTCCTTTATTCAGATTGAATGTAACTTTTTCTTCATCATTTTCTCGGCTCAATTCTGTAAAAACAGGTGTCTCCTGCTCTTTTCCTTCCAGACCTCTTCTCACCTGCTCCTCAATGAACTTGGCAGTCTTTTCCTCATCGTCAAGATCCTGCTTCTTCTTTTTTTCTAACTCCAGTTGCCGGCGAATGGTTTCGGGGTCTCTATCTATGTACTGAATGTACCAACCTTTTGGTGTCTCGTCCACTTTACACAACCCTTTGGGGGAGAAAACTAGCATGACTTCGTGTACATCCAAAGTAAACAACAAGCACAGTGTGTTCCATCTCTGCACATTCAGTGACTACAATCGAGTGTCCTCAAACACAAAGCCCTGAAACACAGGGCGATTTCTTCACTTCCATGCTTATATAGCTATGCTCAGGTAACAGCTAAGCAAGAGCTGCCCAAGGAATCACTTTAGGAACAACTGTTCAACTACAACAGAGTCCTTACTGTCCAATGAACACAGAATGATCTGGTAACTTAATGAAGTGGCACTCTAAATGAGCTAAATATTGACACCAAATTTCTCCTGTCTTCCGAATTTCTCATCATATGAAGTTCAGAAACGGGAAAAGAAAAACTAAATTCTTTGCCCTTTAAACAGACTCTGCAGATTTCTTGTTATAGTTACCCCTGCCCCTTGCTCCTCCTTTGCCTCATCTTGTGGCTTTGCTCCATCACGTGCTCCCTGACATGATGCTCTCCCTCAATACAGACCCAGAGGCACAGGAGCTAAGTGACATGAACTCAATTCTCAGAAACTGTGAGTCAAAATCAACTTTCTCAGGCATTTTGTCACAGTGATGAAAAGTGCCGGAAACAGAATGCCTCGGGCACTGTCAAAGAAGTCCTCAAGCTGGCCACTTCGGACCCAAAGCCTGCAAGCCCAGCCCCTGAGAAGCAGAGGCAGGAGGGTCACCAGTTCCACTGCAGCCTAGGCTATATTAAGACCCAGTTTCAAAAACTAAAAATGACCGAAGTGGCATATAACAAACTTAACCATGGAATTCTTGGTTCCCCTCCTGCTTTCCTAATTTTCCTACAGACCTTATTTCCCATAAAATCAGACGGAAGCTGACAATGATTTCTCTCCTAGAAAGAAAGCCACGGAACACCAGTTCCACTGTTCTCTTCTTACCCTCTCTGCCCAGCCACTTGGTAAAGTCGGTCAGCGTTTCCCACTGAGTGGCGTTCATATGGATATGCTCTCGATGGCTGATGTATTCATTGTAGACAATGTTGTTGTGGACTCTCTTAGTGCCTAAAAACAAAATGTGACACTGTTGAGCCTGAAAAAAACTCACTCAATTATGAAATTGTTATTTACGCAATATTTAAGATGCTTACCAAAGCGTCTCCTCAAAAGTTCCAGAAAGTCATTTCGGAATTCCCTAGTGAAGAAAGAAAGGAAAATATTAAGGTACTTGCTACAAATATAAAGCGCCATCTTAAGTTTAAGCCATCATAAACTTTAGTGACCAAATGTCACACTATGTTACCATGTGCCATAAACCTTTAAAGTGAACAGAGAAAGAACTGCAAAGATCAGCCTAGAGTTGAAATGTGGCCTTAGTAAAGCAGCCATGGTGAAAGCTAGCACATGTCTTTAGAGAAGGTTGACCATAGGATCTTTGTGCTAATGACTAGGGCATAATAATACCACCCTGTCCAAGGGAGCAAATGGCATATCTTAACCTTCAAGAGTTCCCATAAAGTCAACTAACAAAGGAAATGTAACAAAATATCATAAATAAATTTGAGGGCATTGCCAGAGGGGATTTTAATAGGGACAGTGAAATATAATTCAAAGGTCAAAAGGGAAGGCCATTCCTTATTAACAGTGCCATGAACACAGGGTGTGTTTGAAAGATGACACTTAACCTACTTTGGCTGGAATTTAGGATGACAATGAGGGTGAGCAGAGGCAGAATGACATGAGGGGAGAAGATGTGGCTTGAAGATGGGCTCTGATCTAATTTTTGAATCTTGAATGTCATGTTATACAGATCTAATTTTCAGAAAGCAACAGAAAAGCATTTCCAACCCAAATAACTTAGGTTTGAAAAATTAATTAAACACTGTAATTTGAAAGACAATCATGGTTTATACAGCCATAAAGGAAATAAAGAGGATGGTTCAGCCAATAACGCCAGTGGCTGCTCCCCATGAGGACCCAGGTTTGATTCCCAGCAACCACATAGCTGCTCACAACTGCCTTTGACTCCAGCCCCAGGTGATTCAACACCCTCTTCTAGTCTCCACACAGGCAAAAAACTCATACACATAAAATAAGTAATTTTTAACTAGAAATGAAATCATAACATTTGCAAGGAAAAAAAAGATAGAAATAGAAATCATGATGTTAAGTAAGCTAGATCATAAAGACAAATATGTTTTCTCTCATATGTGAAACCTAGATTTAAAATTGTGTGTGTGTGTGTGTGTGTGTGTGTGTGTGTGTGTGTGTGTGTGTGTGTAAAGAAAGCTGAAGGGGATCACGAGAGAGGATGATGAGATCTTAAAGGAGAGAAGAAAGAGGGTAATAGAACATATGCATGTGGCCTGCAAACAGAAGAGTAGACATTACGTGGGGGAAGGAAGGGATGAGACAAGTAGTGGAGAAGGACAGGAAGGGAGGGGATGCCAGCAGGGGAATTATGAATTACGAGACAGGATAATAACACGTTTGAAAATGTTATGATGAAACTCATTACTTTGCACGCTAACTTAAAAAAAAAAATTAATCTGTACTCAAACCATGACAGGAAAAGGATGGGAGGGAGGGAGGAAGAGAGGAAAGAAGGGAAGCAGAGAGCGAGGGAGAAAATCTTGGTCGGCAGCAGAGAATAGCAATTCTCAAATGATGTTCCCCCAAGCCAGCAGCACACTATCATTTGGGAATGTTACAGAAATGTACAATCTCTGGCCCCATCCAAGATCTCCTGAATGAGAAGCCAGGTGCGGGTTCTGCCATCGTTTTAAATCCAAACTAATCCTGTACACACAACTGTTTGTAGAACACTGGGTAGAAAAGAACAACAGTGAGGAATCATGAAATGAGTGAAATGAGAGATGCCGGGAACTACTCGGACAGAAAGAGTGGGAAGGACCTAAGTTTGAAGTGCATCACATAGACTAGGGAAGAGGTTCCGAGTGGACTGGAATTCTATTAGCTGACAACGAGGTTTGGTGGGTAACATTCTGAGTTAAACTTCAGAAATGCTGACTCCAGATCTGGTGAGATCACTCAGTGGTTTAGAGTACTTGTTGCTCTTGCAAAGGACCCAACTCACAATCATCCTAATTCCAGTTCCAGGGAGATCTATTGCCCTCTTCTGGCCTCCATGTACTACTCATGGTACACATACATACATGCAGGCAAAACATTCATACACATAAAATAAATTTTTAAAAATAAAAATCAAAGAAATGATTGTGAACTAGCTTTCAGAAAAGCAGAGCTGTCAAGGAAAAAAATCATCTGTAACTTAGGACAAGTGGTAGAAAAGAATGTCAAGAATGGGGGTTAGGAGACACCTGACCAAAAAGGCAACAGTTAAAAAAATGTGACTTATGGTGACTGTGGGACGAGACAAAAAGATCAGAGAATCATCCTGAAGAACTTTCTGGTATTTGAGGAGCTAAGAAAAGGAAGAAGGAAGAAGGCCATGGAAGAACCCACAAGAGAGAAGTATGTCAGTGAAGAGTTACAAGCATTAGCCACTGAAGACAGACCAAGGACGATGAGGATGGGAAAAAGCCACAAGTGACTTCAAGAGACTGAAGGACAGACAGGAGGCAGTGTCGTGAACAGGAAGTAGAAAGCAGGTAAAGACAGGAAGTGTCTAGCACTTGTCACAATGTTCTTTCCCGGTGTGTGGCCTGAGCATCTGGTGGTACTCAGGATGGTTTTAGGTAGTTCACAGACTACACTAATTTTACCTTTGTCATTGTGGTGTTTTGCACTGATAAGATTAAAAGCAATGGAAAGAAAATGGGTTTCATAGTAGACACATATCATGCCAGCACTAAGGAGGCTCAGGTAAGAGGACAGATCTGAATCAGAGACCAGCCTGTACTACAGAGTGAGTACCAAGTCAGTCAGGACTACATAATAAGACCCTGTTTCAAAACACAAATGAATGCATGCATAAATATTCTGAAGATGGAAGGTAAACCAACCAGCAGCTTAGCATACAGACAAGGTCACAGGTAGTGATCTCAAGCCATCTGACAATGATGTACTCTGTGACACCACACCAATCACTGAAAACTGACACTGGCTTTATCCAGAATGTCTCCATGGAGCAGTAAAATTTGTTGGTTGTATTAAATCACAGCCTTCAAATCACCTTGCTAACAGTCCATGATAAAATGAGAATTACAGATGAACTACCACCACTGTGCATCACAGCTGCTGTGAGAAAAGCGCCGTGCAATTGAGCTGTGAGTTGAATACCTTTTCTCATGGGACATAAAAGACAAAAAGACATAATAAACTACCATTATTCCAAACTGGGCATTTGGCAGACACATCCTCAAAAGTAAGACTGCTGAGTTGGGTAAAAGAACAAGCAATGTGCTGCCAATGACGAGATTGGAGCTCCTGAGTCATGATTAGAATTTTGGCAAGTAGAACCTGCCACTGTGAGCTCAACATACCTCTCAAAGTCAGAGCTGTTTTGACAACATCTGTGCTATTAATGAGTACCAGCAGATGACACTGTAATAAGTGGGGTCACTATTTGAAAGGAAAGTATTTGTAACTCAGTTAACTGATATTTTTCAAGAGACTCACATGCATTACAAGACCACACATATGTATAAGATCCATGCAAAAAGTAGACCAGTGGATTTTAATTCAACAGAATATGCATGTCCTGCTTTCAGAGTCTGTATTAGAACTACTCTAAGAAGCTTGCACACACTCTATCTCAATGCACTATCAAAGAACAATTTAACTTCTTTGGAAAGATACTAGAGTGCTTCCCCTTCTAACAAACCATCTATGGCAAAGCTGAACTTCCTTTATATTCCTCAATTGAAACATTTTAAGAGGCTAAATGTGGAAGCAAAGGTGAGCATTCAGCTGCCTATTAAGCGAGATATTGAAGAGATTTGCAAAAATGTAAAATATATGTTTTTGTATTCGGAAAATATAGTATGCTGCTTTGGTTTGTTTTTGTGGTTTGCTTTTTTTTTTTTATTAAAAATCTCAGCCAGTTGTGATGGAACATACCTGTAATTACAGCATTTGTGGGGCTGAGACAAGAACAATGTGAGTTTAAGACTAACCTTTGCTACATAGTGAGATCCTGTCTTAAATCAAGGAAAAAAAAAAAGAGAGAGAGAGACCCATGTGTTTACACTCGAGTGTAGGTACATATACATTCTGTGTATGTATGGAGGCCAGAGGTCAACTAAGTGTCTTTCTTGATTGCTCTTCATTTTATTTATTGAGGCAGGATCTCTTGCTAAACCCAGAGCTCACCAATTTAGCTAGTCTAGCTAGTGGCTTGCCCCAGAGATCCACTGTCTCTGCCTTCTGAACATTGGGATTATGGGCTGATCATACTTGTTTGGCTTTTATGAGGATGCTGCAGATTGCAACTCAAATGTGTATGGCAAGCACTTTATCCTCTGGGTCCTCTTCCAAGTCCCCATTATATCTGAACATAGGGTAAATGTATTAGTATTTTTAAATAGAATAATAAATATTTGTAATTTTTTTAGATTTAATTTCAAATGTTGACACATAAAACCCATAGAAACAAAAGCCCTTTAGAATCTTCAATCATATGTATAAACGGATCCTCAGAAAATATCTAGAAGTTTGAAAAAAAAAAAGACTAGTACTGCTAATAATTAACAGAAAATCATTATTAGTACTAGACACGCTTCTGAGCCCTTTAAAAACATTAGCTCTCTCACTCTTCTTCCAGTCCTATGCAGGAGCCTGCCAGTTGGGTCAGGGTGACACTTCAGTGCCATCATACCCACGAGAATACTAAAGCACAGAAAAACTCAGGAAGCTTATCCCAGGGCGCCACCCCAAAACTCCTGCAGGGGGAAAGACGTGAGGCCGGGCAGTGCTGAATTGAAAGGAAGGACAGCTCTAAGATACACTTTGGTAACAGTGGCATACTGTTCTTAATTTCAAAAGAAGACAAAGACTGAGCACAGGAAGACTCCAGCCATCTCAACACATAAGGGACAACAGATCTCCTGCGTAAATTCCAAAATTACATGGCCGACTGAGTAACATTTAAGAGGTACTTACTCTGAAAAATAATCCATGAACTGCTGAGGGTTTTCTGAAGCCAGCAACAGTTGTCTTTGATGAGATTCAGACATACAATGGCACTTAAAGCCATTCTACAGAAAAAAATGTGAAGCAGTTAAACTCTCATCTACATATCACAGCACTCTCCTGAGTAGTTCCTTAAGTCTGCAAATTCATTCTTTAATTAAAATTAATTTAATTAAAAAATTCTTTTTTAACTTTTAAAATTATGCATGGGTGTTTTGCCTGCATGTATGCCTGTGTACTGCCTTACGTGTTGTGTCCGAGGGGGTCAGAATACAGTTTTGGATCCACTGGAACTGGAGTTACAGACAGTAGGGTGCTGGAAATAGAACCTGGGTCCTCTGGAAGAGTAGCCAGTGCTCTTAACCATTGAGTCATTCTCCAGTCCTGATAAATTATTTTTACAAAATCAAATCACTAGCTATAACTACACTCTAGTGTAAGTGAGTGTGTGTGTGTAGACCATAGGTGGATCCTGTCACTCTCCAGCTACTTCTTTTGAGATGGGGGTCTGTCATCAAACCTGGAGCTCACAGGTTCAGGAAGATTAGCCACCAAGTAAGCTCCAGGGATCCTCTTGCCTCTGCCTCCCTTAATTAGTTTTACACAGGTACTGGTGATCCAAATGCAGGTCCTCACATGTGCGTGGGGGATACTGTACTGAGCCCTCTCTGCAGGCCTATTTTGCATTTTGCTTGCCACAGAGCTGAGTCTTGCAACCCTGCCAATTACAGAGCAGTCAAGGTCAAGAGACGGAGAGTAGAGCTGTAAAACAGCCATTTATAATGCTGCCAGACACAGACTTCATGGTGGGGACGAATAGTTTTTACTGAGCACCTGCTTCTTAGCAAGATCCTGGAGGGATGCCATGAAACAAAAGGGACCGTCTCTGATTTCCCCTCCAGACACTCTTTTCTCTTATTTTCTTCTACTTTAGTTTATTATCCAAAAGACAGCAATGCCTATTACTTAAACTTTGTTAACTGTATTATAGCTATACTTTTTAAGACTATTAAAAAAAAAAGGCAAGCTGAGGCTAGAAATGGTTCAGTGGTTAAGAGAACCAGCTGCTCTTGCAAAGGACCTAAAGTTCAGTTCAGTTCCCAGCACCTACATCAGGGTGTTCACAACTGTCTCTATAACTTTCACAATGTTACAGCCCCAGGGGACCCAGCACCTCTTCTAACATTCACAAACAAATAAAAACTTAAAAACAACATATATGTATTGGTATATTTCTTCTACCTTATTTGAACCTGAAATTTCAATAGTACATACGTAGCTCTTGCAGAGGTCCTGAGTTCAATTCCCAGCAACCACATGGTGGCTCACAACCATCCATAACAGGATCTGATGGCCTCTTCTGTCTGATGCCTTCTCCTGTCATGCAGGCATACATGCAAATAGAATACTCATATGCATAAATAATTTTTTTAAAAAGCAGACATGCAAATAGAGCACTCATATACATATACTTTCCTCTTTCTAAGCGTAAGAACCAACAGACTGATGCTCTGAAATCCTGCCTGTTTGTCTAGCTTACCAACAACTTTTTTTTTTTTCTTGAGACAGGGTCTCACTGTGTTAGTACATCCTGGCCTGAAACTTGTGATCTTCCCATCTCTGCCTCTGAAGTGCTGAAATTAGATGCATGTGCCACCACACCTGCACCTACTTGATTATCCTCAGATGTTATTCTGAAATTAAGTTCTCATGAGAAGAAGATAAATGACTAGTTCTGGTAATTGCCAGTTTTCTTTGTAAGGTTCTTCTGATTGCGGCTGTCTGTCCTCAGGTATATTAGCTGCCTTCCCTACTTCAAAGGTGGTCAAGGGAAGGAGGATGTTGGTTCTTACATGTTCCCTTTTCTGTCCCTATCTTGCAATGCGGGAAAACCTAGAAGGAAGAAGACAAGGCCCATGATATCTATCCCTTCCACCCTTCCCAGTCCATTCCTTTGGGTTTCTACAATTTAATAACATTTTGTTTCCCTTTTTATTTATATTTTGTTACCAAACTGCTTTTGAAGTAAAATTGAAATAACCATTTCTTTCAGGTAGTGCACAAATTAGGCAAAAATTATAGGTGGCCCATGGACAAATAAAAGACTAAGAAATGACTGTAAGTATGCCAGAGGTTTGAAGCTGGGCAGTAGTGGCACACGCCTTTAATTCCGGCACTCAGGAGGCAGAGGCAGGCAGATCTTTGTGAGTTTGAGGCTAGCCTGGTCTACAAAGCGAGTTCCAGTAAAGGTGCAAAGCTAAACAGAGAAACCCTGTCTCGAAAAAAACAACAACAAAAAAAAACCAAAAAGATAACAGCAAGCCAGTAAGAAAAGGTGCTCACTGCAAAATGTTGACAACCTGATTTCAATCCCCAGGGCCCTTAAGCGCCTTTAATCCCAGCTCTCGGGAGGCAGAGGCAGGCGGATCTCTGTAAGTTTGAGGCCAGCCTGGTCTATAGAGTGAGTTCCAGGACAGCCAAGAAACCCTGTCTCGAAAAATCAAATCAAAACAAAACAACTCCCCCCCAAAAAATGATATAAATGGGTGGGGGGTGGGGGGGGGCGTAAGGAAGCAGTTCAGTGGGAGAGCATTTGCCAGGCATGTGTAAGACCCTGCATTAACTTGTAGCACTGCTTAATAAACAAGGTTCCTGGTCCCCACCACCACTACCACCAGACTACCGAGAAACTATTAATATGAAGTGGGGTGGTCTACATCTTTGACACCAGCACTCAGGAAGCAGAGGCAGGTGGATCTTATTTGAGGCCAGCCTGGTCTATCTACGTGGTGAGTTCCAGGCCAGCTGAAGCGACATACTGAGACACTGTCTCCAAAGTAAAGTAGAAATAAAATAGTGTATCAGATGTAAAGGGTTTTTTTAATTAGATTTGCTATATTAGTGGCATTTTCACATATATTGAAATGATACAGGCGATTAGCTTGTTATGCTGATCACATATTTAAGTTTTCAGAAGTTAAGTATTCTGACATTTATACAATTTACTATAAAATATTTCAGACAAAAAGTAAGTATCGTAAAACATTTAAAGTTAACTTCTAGGTGCTATGGAATGCAAACTTGTACCTTTCTGAAATCCATATACTGAACATCTAACCCCCATAGGATGGTAGTAGCAAGTGGGAACTTGGGGAGATAATTACGTTTAAGTCATGCGGAGACCCAGTCTCAAACAAAACAAAACAAAACAAAACTCAGTGACAACCTTACAGCAGATAGGTACAAGTATTACCTCCACTTTACCAGTAAGAGGAAACTTTATTTGCCCAAGTCCATGGCAATCAGTCAGTGCCTGTCTGGGATTATTTCTGGTGGAGTTGGAGGGCCGCGCGAAGGGCGGCGAGGGTCACAGACCTCTTATGCCAGGCTGGGGAAGGCTGCGCGGAAAAGCGCTCCGTGTCGGGGCGCAGCGTCGGAGTAGGGTACCGGCGTCGCGGTCGGGGGTCGCGGCCACCCTGAGCCACTTACCTCGTCACGGCATTGTTTCTGGCACATCTGGCAGTACCAGCGAAGCTTCTGGAGTCCTTTGGACTTAATTCTATTCGCGATGGCCTTGGGGCTCAGAAAATCCGACTTGCCCATGGTGACCCAATAGCGCTACAACGCTCAAGCAGCCGGAAGCGGAACTGGATCGGCTGGGGGGACAGGCGGGACTAAAACTGACAGCAGGAAATGGGTGGGGCCAGGGAACTGGCGGCTTCAGAGCTCACGAGACTTAGCGAGACTGAAGACGCAGGAGAAGAGGGCGGTTGCGTCGGGAGCTCTCCGCGCACGCGCAGTGAGCCCCGTCTGCCCGACCTTCAAGGTTCCACCATGTTCTCGCGGGCGAGTGTTGCCGGTCTGTCGGCCTGCGCCGTGCAGCCGCAATGGTATGACTAGATCAGGAGGGGTGTGCCAGGCAGGAGGGATCGGGCTGCATGCTCGCCCTAGGCCGAGAAAGGTCCGGGCTCCTGCACGTCCCGGACGCTCAGGCCGTGGGAACCTCTGCAAGGCGGGAAGGTCACGGCCTGGTCCCCCGAGGCAGTTACGGCCATCCGGGACCTCAGGACCAGGACGGGAGTCGGATTGAGCGTTGGAGCCAATCTGGAGCTGGGTTTTTGTCAGCTCTGTACTTCCGCTACGTGTCCCGGTCCATGTCTTGCAAAGTCTTTAGAAAGGTCCTCAGGGTGAAGGGGAGACCGGAGAAAAGGCATAGGGAAAGTTAAATTGTATATTTTTTTTTCTTTAACGCCCTGTGAAACATTGCACTGTTGAGCGGCGGGATGTGATCGTTTGCTTGTGCTCTTTGGTTAGACATCCACTGTGTATCGGGCTCTTTACTAGGTACTGGAGAAACTAAGGCAATCAACTTAGCCCCCTCCTGAACTTGCTGTCGCCCTGGTGCTGAAGGGACTTTAAAAATCTGTCGATGAGGATGGGAAAGACATCTAGCATTGTCAGCACACCCTAAAGTAGTATCCCTGCAAGGTCATAAAACTGTCCCAAGGTCCCTCGGTAGGAAGAGGAGGCCACATACGGACTTTAATAAAGTGACATTTGTTAACTTCCATGCTGCGTTAAAGGAATAGATACCGTAAGGTTTGACGACTTTAAACATTAATTCTCGGAGTGGGGGGAGCATATTAGAATGCCTAGGGATGGACGGATAAAATGTGGTTTATGGATGACACTGTATGATAACATGGATTGCTTTGAAGCTAGACGTCTGGAAGAATTGGTGCAAGGGGATTATTAACTAGCGATTCCTTGGCTTTACAGTATGGAGGATTGTTAGGGTCCTCCAGAGCTAAACTAGGTTTTTATGACCTAGTTTATGGAACTACCAATCATTAATTGAAATAGTCTTTTCATTAAGCAAAGAGTTTACAGCCATATGCCAAGGCTCCAAAGTACTGAGGAAATTAAGTAAATATGATTGAACTATGTACATAAAGAATGTTGGTATATTAACCTTGGAAGAAGTCACAGCAGTCAAACTCTGGGTTGTGCCAGTCTGCCCCTAGGCACTTGTGGAGTGCCTGCCCTGCACCAGTTGGCACCACACAGGTGTTAAAATGTGAAGGGTCTGTGAGTTTCCTGGGAAAGTTCTTAGCATCCAGTGGTGCTCAGCAACCATCCGTTTCCATCCTTGGCATTTGCTGTGCCTTTATTGGGTCCATAGTTTTAGAACCTGAAGTTAATGCAAGGTAAATGTTTTACATAAAACTCTCAGACATAACTCTATGAAACACAGGTGAGAGCATTTGAAGATACTTTGGTAAAGTTTTGCTTTTACATCAGCTCTTGGTCTGAGGTGACGAGTGCTGGGAATCTCAGCTGGAACTAATGAGCAAGTGAAAGCCAAGTTTAAACTCTATGGAATGTTGGTTTTAAATGGATAGACTGGAGAGTCAGGGAACATCTGTGTTATACGGAATGCATATTCCTTTCTTTTCAAATATTTCATTTTTCTTGGTGCCTGGTGTCTTTTCCATCATTAGGCCTTGTTTCCCCCCATTTTAGTTGCCTTTTGAATTCAGAAATTAAGATGTTAAGGTTTCAGGGGCTGGGCTCCTGGGTTCAGTTTCCAGCATCCACATACACCATCCATAGCTCCAGCTCCAGGGCATCCATTACCCTCTTCAGACCTCCACAGGCACCAGCCATGCATGCAGTCCACATACATACATGCAGACAAAAATAATCATACACATAAATCTTTTTTTTTTTTAAAAAGTCTTAAGGTTTCATATTCCGCAGAGGTAAATGAAAGGGGAGACTGCCTTTACCTTCACAGAACCGGGGAGAAGCTGCTTTTTCTTGGTTCTGTTGATTGTGGGAAACTTCAGAAACCGCAGTCTGTTACATTTTCAGGGAAGATTAGAGAAAGGGGGTTCCTGAGTGTACTTCCCAGCTTCAACTTTGAGGGAAAATTTTTTTTTTGTTTTCTTAGTGTTCAACAACCCCTAAAATGGAACCGGTTTATAATGGGCACTAGTGGCCATAAATGAAGAGCGGGAAGGCAGATTTCATCTGGAGTAATCTGCACATATCTACTGGTAAATGTAAACTGGGAGGCAACAGAGATGGGCTCTGGAATTGGGTTTGAATCCTGACACTGCCACTTTGCATGCCTGTGTGTGCCTTGGACAAATTTCCTAGTGTCTGTCTCACTGGTTCCTCCTCAGAGACAGTGCTAGTTTAGTGTAGGACTAAATAAGTGTCCAGTGGAGGAACTGCTGGTTTGGATCAAATACATCAATTGAAACCATGAAAACGGGTTTATAAACACTGTTTGTACATATAACGTATAAAAAGGCTATTCTGTCTGTTAAAGGAGGAAACAGTGGGGGCTAAAGAAGTGTTGTGAGGTCATTGTGGAGTACAGAGTCAGAATTTGATTAACTTCAAACTTTTTCTTGTTAGTTAATGCTAAGTACATTTCCTTTGTTTCTATACTAACAGCATCACACGATCCTTAAAACCCTTCCAGACTGCTACTTCTTGCATAGGCATCACTCCTGTCTTTCTCCTGTACTGACTTGAAGTCTGAAAATGACACTGTACTCTGGAAGAAGATACTGCACTTTACCCACAGTCCCCTTGATTGTGCATCCACTGTGTTTGGTATTGCCAAGTCTCTGTAATAACCTCCAGAGGATGAGTCGGGATATGATGCAGTGACCAAGACTTTATCCTCTCAGTGCAAACTCTTCTCACTGTGATATTCAGTAGATCAAGCTGTCACTTAAGGTGCAAGAAATGGAGATGGGAAGATGACCCAAGAGGTACAAGCTTGACATTCTGAATCCAACTCCCTGGACCCACAGTTGAAGGAGAGCCAACCCCAAAAGTTGTCCTTAAGCTTCTACCCGTGAGACTCCATACTCCATATTTATAGTTTTTCCCATAATACCTTTTAAATCTTCAAGCACCTCATGGCTGTTCAGTCATTGTAGTATGAATCTTAAAGGGTCTTATTAATAAAAACAAACCCGGAGCCAGGTGTTGGGGTGAACGCTAAAAGATCAGAGAAACAGAACCAGCCACAGCCAACCTCACCAATTCCTCAGCTGATCCTGTTTCCTCAAACTGTAAGCCTCTGTGTCCTCATCCAAATGGATCTCAGCTGAACTGCTGCTCAAAAGCCTAAAAGCTTAAGCAGAGTCTAGTTCCTGGTTCTCACACCTTATATACTTTTCTGCTTCCTGCCATCACTTCCTGGGATTAAACAGTCAGGCATGTGTCACCATGCCTGACTGTTTCCAGTGTGGCTTTGAACTCACAGAGATCTGCATGGATCTCTGCCTCCAGAATGCTAGGATTAAAGGTGTGTGTGCCACCATTTTCTGGCCTCTATGTCTATCTACTGGCTGTTCTGTTCTCTGACCCCAGATAAGTTTATTAAGATGCACAGTATATTGGGGAGCACAATATCACCACAAGTGATCAAATTGATCTTAAAAATAAAGTTGTTGTATAGACAGCCATCTTGAGTTAAATGAAGGCAAACTATGAGAGCATTTCAAAGCTTATGAAGTGACAGTGTGTGCCCTGTTAGAAGACATTTCCTCTCCATACCACCAGCCTGGAATATCAAAACAAAAACATTGTGCTGGTTCTGATACAGTATGCAATTCAGAATTGTTCCATGCAATATTCCATTATGAGGAGCGCATGTCAGTTCAATTGAAGCATGTGCCTAAAATCACACTTTCCTAACTGTAAATCTAGAGCATTTGGTAACATCATCGAGAGAAAAAAGAGGGGAAAAGCCAGCTCAAACTGGTTACCTTTGCTGTGACATTTCTAGTAGGGATTAATACTACGGTCTCTATGTCCAATAATCTGTGTGCCAAAATAGTTTGTCATGTTTTCTGACCTCAATCTTTTCTCTTTCTCTCTCTCTCTCTCTCTCTCTCTCTCTCTCTCTCTCTCTCTCTCTCTCTCTCTCTCTCTCTCTTTTTTTTTCCTCAACCAAACCTAATATTTTCTGTAAGTCTTTTATTTTCTTTTTCAATGACTGGGTAGTACCAGTATTAAGCTATATAAGTCAAGATTTTTTGTGGTTTGGGTTTTAGTTTTTTCCTAGTGCCAGGGACTGATCCCAGGGCCTTGATCATGACAGGTAAATGATGTACTACAGAGCTGCATCCCCCAATTTACAAGTCAAGAGATTGACTCTTTAAAACAACTCTTAGTTATGACCTTCTATACTATTTTTACACATATAAATGCCTAATAAGCAAAGCATGCATCATTCTGTAACCTACACATTTGAAAATTATAATTAAAAGAAAAGCACATTTTTCCTTTGCAGTTTTAGATTTGTGTTGAGCATTTACTATGGAGAGTTCATATCCCTACCTACTCTGGACCATTTTCCCTGTGCTTACATTACTTTTGATACATTGTTTCTAGAGTCTAATTCCGTTAAGGTTCACTTACTTTGTGGTTTTGTTTTGTTTTTTATGTTTTCACATATTTTCGAGCCATCATGATGGCTTAGGGGTAAAGGCACTTGCCACCAAGTTTGATGACCTGCGTTTGATCCCCAGAACCCTTATGGTAGGCAAGATCCCGCTCTTCATAAGTTGTCCTCT